GTGTGGCCTGGAGCTTCTCTTTGGAAAATGAGCCATTGAAGTGCCTACCTTACAGTACCTTGTTGCAGGGATTCAGTGGGGAGGAGCACCTGGCATTACGGTGCTTGGTGAACGCGTGAACGTGCCCCTTCTCAGTGTTCGTTAAGACTAATCTTGGCTGCAATTTGTGAAAAATCATCAACAATTGATCTTGAATACCTTGAATGCCAGGATTATTAAAATAGAGTCTTAAAAGTAATAAATATTGTAAGCTAGTAGAAGAAACTACCTTTAGATGATTTTTTACAATACTTTATTAATAATACATTGTTTTTATGGTATTTCAGAGCTCATATAGTATTTTAATAAATATTATTTTAGTTCCTTGTGTCTTAACTTGTTTTTTTTTTTTCAACGTTTGTTTATTTTGGGGACAGAGAGAGACAGAGCATGAACGGGGGAGGGGCAGAGAGAGAGGGAGACACAGAATCGGAAACAGGCTCCAGGCTCTGAGCCATCAGCCCAGAGCCTGACGCGGGGCTCGAACTCCCGGACCGCGAGATCGTGACCTGGCTGAAGTCGGACACCTAACCGACTGCGCCACCCAGGCGCCCCCCTTGTGTCTTAACTTTTACAACAAACTACTTTTAATAGCAGAAAAAAGTAAATACTTTGAAGAAAATAGTGTAGAGAGGAGATTTGGGGGGTGGGGGACGTGGGGATTGCTCAAAACGGTAAGTAGGAAATTTTTTGAAGGCCAACATTTTGTCTGTAAAAATCACATCAATTTCCTCCATAAAATGTTTGCATTACTATCAATACAATATTTTAAATGTCTTACCATTATAAAAATGATGGTTCAGGAAGATACGCTTTTTTTACCCAAGATTTCTAACATGCCTGGTACCTTCCTCATGCCTTTTGTTTACACACGTCAATTGAGAAGCACTTTTCTCCTACAGCGACACAGAAGACTGATGAAATACACTTTGTACTTAGTTCATAGTTGAGGAAATTGAGCACCCAAGGTTACACGGCTACTAAATAGAAGAACTGGGAGGGTCTTCCCCTGGAGGTGTCCCCTATCCCCAAATCCAGTCTTCTGCCACTCCTGCTGTAATCAGATAATACTTAAGAACAAAAAGATGGTATATAATGAATTGTGCTGGGTATGAATTGATCAGTAGAATTGTAAGTAGTTCTTTACCCTCAAGCAGTTTCTAACTCCATTGGTCTGATAAGATGCTACCTTGAGGGGGTTGGTAAATAACAAAAAAGCTAAGGGATTCTAAGGCAAGCAATGCTAAGGGCAGTGAGTAATTGATTTCCTAGTAAGCGGTTGAGACAAATGTAAAAGTTCTGAGAAGGAAGCATTCAGGTTGGGCTAAAGAGTATAGGGAAGCTTTGTGGACGAAAATGGACTTGATTTTACAGTATAGTGTTTCTCCAGCCTTTTCCTCTGGTCTTTTGTTTATTGCTAATAATGGCTGAAAACAAGTTCTGATTGCAAGCTTAAGTCTATTTTGGCTTCTTTGTTGTTTGAAAGGTGTTTATATTTGTACAGCTTACCCCACAATAAATAATTTGGTAACTGCCCATTCAAATTTCTACTCTTGGGGCGCCTGGGTGGCGCAGTCGGTTAAGCCTCCGACTTCAGCCAGGTCACGATCTCGCGGTCCGTGAGTTCGAGCCCCGCGTCAGGCTCTGGGCTGATGGCTCGGAGCCTGGAGCCTGTTTCCGATGCTGTGTCTCCCTCTCTCTCTGCCCCTCCCCCGTTCATGCTCTGTTTCTCTCTGTCCCAAAAATAAATAAAAAACGTTGAAAAAAAAAAAATTTAAAAAAAAAAATTTCTACTCTTTTCCATCCTTGATAGTGTAAGAAAATGATCTGATGCTAGCCCTTAGATGATTTTTATTTCATTTTACAAGGCTCCTTTTTGATCCCCCATTAGCACATTACTCATTCACTTAAAGAATTTGGCAAGATTTCCATAATAGAGTGTAGTTGATGGTTGGGATTAAGCAGAAAAGGGAAATGGTTATGATGGAAGAGAGTCCGGTTTCAATGTTGATGGTTAGGTCCTGGGACCAAAGACCTAGAGGAGACCGAAGACAGGAGGAGAAGAGACATAGTGTCCCAGTGGTGTTGACCTGTGGGTGCAGGGAAAAAACCGTGCCAGTCACACTGCAGTCACACAGCCCTGTGCCTCCTTCTGTCATATGTTCTTAGGGCTGGAAGGTATTTCAAGGATGGTTTGGTCAGACCCACTTCACAAAATGTAAAAGAGATGAAGAAACAGCCTAAACAGATCAGAGAACTTGCTTAAGGTCTCATAAAAGTGACAGAATTGGGATGAAACCCTGTGTCCCCCGAGTCATAACCCAGCATTCCTACTATCTCCCCTGAGAGCATAGTGTGCAGAACTCTGGGCTGATAGGAGCATTCCTCAGTGTATTAGATAAGGACCTTTTGCTGCTGCTGTTCTTTCTAATACACCAAAGTGGTTTGGAGATGGTGAGATTAATTTATCTGATGAAGGAAGGCACGTTGTGTCAACACATAGCGTGTCAGAATTTTTCAGCCATTTGTGAAGTGTGCTTTCTCTGATATTATCTTCCCATCTTCTAGGTAGCCCTGCTAGCCAAGAGGAATGATACTGAGCTTCATTTTTTGTGGTTTGTTTTGTAAAAATAATAGATATACTGGTTGTCCTTTTGCAACTACATAGGGATACTGATGGAGAGTCATTTCAGTTTGAGCTCAATTAGTTGATCCAAATCAATACAATCATATTATTAAAAATAGATATGTATTCTATATTTAGCAAGGAAGATGGCATTTTATAGCTATATGCCTGCTATATAGTTTGGTGCTATGTATGATACTAAAGTAGAGCTCATTGCCCCTCCTCTTGGAATTTCCAGTCCAGTTGGAGAGGCCAGTTGTATGCACATACGGCCTCAAATCTGCCATGACTAAAATGGGAATCCTACCAGCTCTCATCCCCACTACACCTGTTCCTCCCATGTCATTTAGTGGTCCCATTGTCTCTTCAGTCACTCATAGTAGAAATACTGGAAACCTGGCAATCACCTTTGCTTCTCTTCTTCTTCACTGCCCCATTCAGTCTGGTAGCAGATCCCTGTAACATACTCCCTGTCCTCCAGCTGAACTGCCATCAGACTCCTGTTCATCCTTTAAGACTGTTAAACATTGCTTCTTCAGGGAAGTCTTAAGTGTCTTCCTTCAGTGCACTTGTAGCCAGCAATAAACTTTTCTATTAAGCACTGGCTATAGTTTCTCGAAGTCAAGGAACTTACCTTATTTCTTTTTGTAAACCCAGTACAAGGCACATTAGACCCTAAGTTTTTAAATCAGTACCTTGAGTGATGGGAGGGTTATTAGTTGTATTTATGGTGTTTATGAAACAGCCCAGTGAAGTAAGTCTATAAAGATAGGCAGAGGCCAGATGCTGAAAGCCTGAATACCATGCAAAGAAATGTTCAGTTGTAGTTGGGCACATGGGTTCACAAGGTCTTTCCTGTAGCCACATATTGTCATGTGACTGCATTCTGGCCAGTGAAAACAGAAGTGGTAGGTGCCCCTTCCAAGAAGTTTCTTTAATGGAAGGGCATTTCATTCCCTATCTCTCCTCTCTGCTGGCTGGAGTGGAATCTAAATGACTGGGCTCCCCTGTAGTCATGTGAGTGTAGCAGGGCCACACATCCTAGGATTTGTAGCGTGGGAAGGAAGCCAGAAGAAGCCTTCACAGAAAGGAGGACATTCCAGGAAGAGGAATAGAGTGAGAGGACACACTTGAAGGTCAGATAGAAGAAGATGACCTGGCAAAGGAGACTGAAAAGGAGTCACCAGAGTGATGGGAGGAAAACCAAGTGGTTCAATAAGGAGGAACTGGGCAGCCACTACCAACTAAGATAGAAATGGCAAAAAATGTCACTGGATTCGACAACATGGAGGCATTGGTAAGACCACTGATGTGGCGAGGGCAGAAGTGATATTGGAATAGGCTAAAGGGTGAATAGAGCCTAGGAGGTGACCTTCTAAAGACATTTGCCCTTGAAAGAATTTGGAACAGAGAGACCAGCTGGCAGAGCGTGTGGAGTGAAGGGAAGGTTTTCCTGAGATTACTGGAATATGCCTGTTGAGAGGAAAAGAGAGAGCAGGCAAGGTCTTAAGATGAGTTGATGAGATCCAGAGCAAGTGGACAGAGATGTGATGTTTGCAAGGAGGAAGGATGCTTCCTTTGTGGTGAAGGGAATGAAGAAGAAATGGGGCACATTGGGTTGGCTTCTAGATTTCCAGTGCAGACATGAGGGAGCTCCGATCTAAAGACTTCCGCTCTCTCCTGAACTCTTCGGCAAGGTCATCAGCTGAAACTTCACAGATAGTAAGGCTTCATATCTTGTCAATTTCTTCTGTTTTAGCTTTGTTCTGTGCTCTGAGGAGAGTCTCCAAAGTTTTGGATGGATCGTGTCGCTTGCTTGAAAATCCTTCAGTGCCTCTGCTTCCCATGGCACACAGGGCACAACACAGTCAAGGCCTGTTCCCTTCTCAGCCCCATTCTCTCCACTTACTCCACTTTGCTGCAGCCAAAGCCAACTGCACCATTGCCCTGAAACAATTCATCCTTGCTGCTTCTCAGCCTCGGAACCTGCTCTTGTGATGCTGTCCTTTTCTCCCTACCTGGTGAACTCATTCTTGAAGACCCAGTTCTCATATTGCATCCTTTTAAATCTCTTTGATTTCCCTCCCCTTTCCACAGGCCAGTAACTATAGCTTTTATTTATATATCTATATAACTTTATATATCTGTGTAGCTTTTTTATCTGGGTCGACCACAGTGTCTGGTATACATGAGTTGGCATTGGGTGAATGGATGAATTTTAATTGCTTTACCTGTTCCTTTAGTGATTTTTAATGAAATTGAAATGAAATGAAAGTTATATACTCTTAGTATTTGATGCAGAGAAAATATTGTTTCCTTTTTTTTTTTTTCCTAGGTGGTTCTGGAATGGAGCCGGGATCAGTACCATGTTTTGTTTGATTCCTACAGAGACAATATTGCTGGAAAGTCCTTTCAGAATCGGTAAGAAGAAATCAGTTTTGGAGAGTAGCTTCTTTGGACTTAGAGGATGAGTCACGATTTCACTCTTGCTTTAAATGTAACAGTTCAGGTTGAAGGCGGGGTCTTTCAGAATAATATATGGTTTAACTTATTCAAGGCTACTCCTATCTGAAGGAACCTTGTAGTCTGTCCTCACATTTTATGGTTGAAAAATCTGATTCCCAAAGAGTAATCCTGCCTTGCGGTTTATTGAGTACTTTGAGTTACACGATCTCATTTTATTATTGCCCTAGTTCTATGAGGTAAAGGTAATTCAATCTGCCTGCAGGATGAGGAAACTAGCTGGCTACTCTGGCCGGTAGTCTTCTGTTCCAAGCCCTGGCCCATATTCTTGTTGACCTCACTCTGTTAACCAGAGCCATTCTGTGGAAGCCACTGGAATTGACCCCCTACCTACCCCTCTGGTCACCATATCTTGCTGCCTCGCTGTGAGGAGGAGCAAGCCTTGCAGGTTGGGTCTTTTTCTCTTTAAGGCCAAGCTTCCTGGTGCAGCCACTCTTAGATGCTGTCTTCAACCTTTTCCTTCAAGATTTTTTTCCTCCTTCATAAGACAGACCTCAGAGTGGACTCAATCTTTCCCCACATCTTCCTTCCCTTCCTGCAGCTAAAATGATTTGCACGGGCTCTTTTTGGTTTTTGTCTATAAAATTAGTGCTTAAGTTGTTTTATATCGTAAAAGCAGTTTATGTCTGTGGTCGAAAACAGTTCAAACAGTACATAAAAATAAAAAGTTAAGCCTCTCTGTTCCATTTTGAATTTCCCCTCATCCAGAGGAACTGTTGTTAATGATTTTTTTAAGTTTATTTATTCATTTTGAGAGAGAGAGAGAGAGAAAGTGGGGAAGGGGCAGAGAGAGAGAGAGACAGAGAGAGAATCTTGAGCAGGTTTCATGCTGTCAGCACAGAGCCCGACACAGGGCTTGATCTCACAAACCATGAGATCAAGAGTCGGACGTTCAACTGACTAAGCCACCCAGGCGCCCCTGTTAACAAATTTTTGTTAATGATTCTTTTGGTAACCATCATTCTAACTTTAAAACAATAAGTGGAGTTCTCTCCTTTTTTATTCATTTTATGCAGTATCTATTGACTCTTTTCCATTGTAATGGTGCATAGCCAGTCGTTGTGGGGCTAAGAGCAGTAGGTGACCAGAACAAATGTGGGGTAGCTAACAGGGGTAGTTAACCTCATTAGACCAGAGTCTAAATGTCAGAGGCCATAACCACAAACCTCCCTTGATCCTGACTGTCCATTTTCCCCTGAGGATAGTTCTCATAAATCTTTCCCTCTGCTCTCACTGAACCGGAAAACCTAACGAAACTGCAAATAACTACATTTGGTGTCGGTTGGCTCACCTTCAGAGTTATCTGAGGATCTGTAGACTGCATCACCAATTCCTCTGGAGCCCTTGCTCCCTGCTTAGAAGTACTTCCTTGTCCCTCTTCACTTTTTATGAGTCCCTATGTGGTTTCTATCAAATAAGTGTTTTTTAAAATTAGTGTGCTAATTAGATGTGTGCACTGTTATAGTCCTGACCATCTTAGGGAGGAAGGGCTATGGGATTCTTTGAATTGACTAAAGCTTTACTCTTTGCTCAGTGCCCTATGTGTGAATGACATCCCTCAATTTGCTCCTTTAACAGAAAAGGAATCTTTAAGCCTTACTCTGTTTTAGACACTGATATATAACTATCTGTGGTAAAGAATTTCATAGTGTGGTAGGGAGAATGGCTTGTAAGCAAGTAATTAGTGAAGTAGGGAAACTCTAGGCTTTTCTCTTAGGATCTCTTAAAGATAGTTTTCAAAGACTCTAGGGGTCTGCAAAATCCAAACTGTTTTTTATAAGAGTTCTAAGGTGTTACTTGCCTTTTGTACTGTGCTGACATTTGCACTGGTGGTGTAAAAGCAGTGCTGGGTAAGATCGCCAGACCTTAGCATGAATCACTGTATTCTTCACCACCCTATATTTGCAGGGGTAAGATAAAAGTTAGTTTCACTTAAAAATGTTCTTGTTGAAGCACTAAAAGTTATTCATTTGGTTGTATCTTGACCCTTTGGCCACACATCTTTTTAATGTAACGTGTGATGAAATGCACCTGACCGTATGGTGATTGTCTTGAGGAAACCCTGGTGTGGTTGAGTTGCAACCTAGACCAGCCCTTCTGTTTCATGGGACACCACTGTCATAACTTGAGAGATGACAGTGTGATTACTCACACTGGTCATTTGACAGCTGTTTTCTTGACAGTGAACAAAGCAATTCTGTCTCTTAAAGGAAAATGAATAATAGTATCCGTTGCCAATGATAAAATTTGAGCTTTCAAATGTAAATTAGAATTTGGGAAAACTTGTTTCTATCACTGTGAGCTTAACAGTTCACATATCATAAAGACTTCTCTGATTAGGTAGATATGTGGCATTGTCCACAAAAATCACATTCATTAATATTATATAGGAAAATTAAGGAAATATGTCACCATTTGGCAGATGTGTATAACTCAGTAAGCTGTTATTTTCCAGATAACCAATACATTGTTACAGGATCCTTACAGGTGTTTACAAAATCTTGCATGGGTAAAAAAGTCATTCAAAGTGTAAGAAAGACCAATGGATTTTGGTGTAAAAGCACAAAAAGTTCTTTAATGTGGCTTCACATTCCACACTGCAACGAATTTTTAAGCAGCTACCACTTATTTTGGTAGGATCAAAGAAGAAAACCTGCTGTTACCTGAAAAGGCTATTAAAATACAACTCCCCTTTCCAGCTACATTATCTGTGTGAGCCTGGGTTTTCTTTATACACTTCAGCCAAAACAACACGTGGGAACAGATTGCAGACAGAAGATGCAAGGTGCTTGTTCTTTTCTACTAAGTCATTAAAGAGATTGGCAGAAAAGTGAAACAATGCCTCTCTTCTCACTGTTTTTTTTATTGTTTTGGAGAGTATTATTTTCATTAAAAAAGTTATTCATGTTAACATTTTAAGATGAATTAAGTATTTTTATAGTGTTTCATTTTCAAATATGGTAAATGTTAATAGTTACAATCTATAAACAAAAGTTTTTGGGGATCCTTAATTTTTTAAGTGTAAAGGGTCTGGAGAGTAAAAAGTTGGTAGAGAACCGTTTCTCTCACATAGCAGTTCTTAAAACCTTAGTGTGCAGCAGAATGCCATGGAAGGCTTGAGAAGATACAGTTTCCCCCACCCCCAGAGCTTCTGCGTCTGGAGGTCTCACAGGCGCTCACAGAATTTCCATTTCTAACAAGTTCACTGGTGGTACCGAAGCTGCAGGTCTGGTGACTACGGAGAATACTACGGATTCTTGATGAAATACAGTTTTCCTACTTCTTCATTTTCATTTTAGCTGATTTTCCTAAGAAAAGCTCAAAATGGATTGTCTTTTTAAAATCAAATATTTATCAAGCATCTACTCAACCTACTGTGCCTTATGCTGTGCTAGGTGCTGATGGTGCAGTTGCATGAATTCCTGCCCTGAAGGAGCATCCAAATTTTAGAAGGAAAAGTAGCTTTAGAAAATCCAGATACTGAGGTCAGCGGTTTTAATCAAACATTCTTGTTCTCTTTCTGAAAAATTTTGTGTATGGGTGTTAAATATTTCTCCTCCTAATTTTAGATTGCATTAAAATATAGTTTGGTTTTTATATAAGGATATTTCAAAATTGCCTAATTTTGAAGATGACATGTAAATAGATCATATATAACATATCACATGTTCTAATACATTTTAAAATACCATAATGTTTATAGGGAGTTTTCATCATTTTGCCAGTTTCTCTGCAAGTCTTTTTAATGTTATTTGAAAAAAAATTTTTTTAATGTTTATTTTTGAGAGAGAGAGTATGAGTGGGGAAGGGGCAGAGAGAGAGAGGGAGACAGGATCTAAAGCAGGTCTCTGCACTGACAACAGTGAGCCTAGTGTGGGTCTTGGAACTCATGAACTGCAAAATCATGACCTGAGCCAAAGTGGATGCTTAACCGACTGAGCGACCCAGGTGCCCCTTTAAAAGAAAGGTCTATTCTATATGTCAGTAACAAGTGAATATGTAAATTATCTACTACTAATTATAAGGCATTAAGTCAGTCTGGGCCTAGTCTTGTCATCTCTAAAATGTAGGTATTAGATTAAGTGTAAAATCTCTTCCAACTCTTTGGCATTAAGATACCATTTAAGTTCTGAGTTTTCATACCTAGTTTATAGAATGTAGAACCAAAGGACTACATTCGTAGTATCCTTTACATGTCATAGTGCCTGTGTATTCACTTAAACCAAACTGATTAAAATAAAAGCTGTATTACTGTCACCATGGCTTTGGTTCTGAGTCACAGGTGACTTATTTAGTCTTCAACTCTAAGATAAAGGCTTTCCTTCATCTGGAAACTTAGATATAGTGGTCTTGTGGTCAGAAATAAAGACTCAAACTCATTGTGGCCATGTCTAGTAGTAGAAAAACAACTGACTCACTGACCTGGGGCAGATCACACGATCTCCTTAGTTTGTTAGTTTAACACCAGAGAATTAAATTGATCTTGTAATACAAACTTATTAGAAGAGCTAGTACATCAATCCATTATATACTTAATTATTTCCCCAAATGAACATGTATGGATATCTCTTGATTCTATTAAAAGATCTTTAATAGCAGGTGATTACTTTTACAGGATAGCTTTGGAAAGTACAATTCTTTAAAAAAAAAAAAAAGTTTAAAAAATATGTCATCTAAGCAGTTTTTCAAATTAATTTTTAGTCAGAAATTGAGAGTGAGATGACCTTGGATAATTTAGATGTGGGTAATACAAGACCGGCCTGCCTGCCTTCCTTCCTTCCTTCCTTCCTTCCACAAAAGACTGATTTATATGTTGAGGGAATGAACTTAGAGTTTTAATTTAGCCAATGAGTATATGTTAAATCCCATTCATGTACCAAGCCCTATTTTTAAGCATCTTGTGATGAACAAGAGAAACTCACTGACCTCATATAGAATTGGCATTTTAGTGGGGGAAGCTTTTTTTTTTTTTTTAACTTAAAAATGTGAACTACAACCTGCATATAAATCATTATTTCTCAGATTTCTGGACTGGCAGCATTGGCATTACCTGGGATCTTGTTAGAAATGTGAGTTCTCAGGCCCCACTCCAGACCTAATGAGTCAGAAACTCTGGGGATGGAGCCCAGCTATCTGTTTTTACAAGCCCAAAGGTGATTCTGTTGCCTGCTAACATTTGAGAACCATTGGTATAATAAATGCGATTAAAAAACCTAGCTGAGGAAGCTTTTGTGTACTGTTACTTATGGTGAGGAGAGAGAGTCTGAAGATATGGGAAAGAGAGGAAGTAATTGAAGCAGAGCACAGAATGCATAGTACCATTTCTGCCCTAGAGATACTCCATCTAGTGGAAGATAGACATGCATAAAAACTAGTACAACATAGTATGCTAAGAGTTCCTTAGAGTACAGATTACAATGGAAACTGTGTGTTAAGCAGTACATTCTCTTTGTGGGAGGTGAGGGAAGAGGGCAATTGGGGAAGGAGGATATTTTAGACAGTGGGAGAGGCATGTTCAAAGGTGCAAAAGCTTGCAAGTCTTACCCTGCTTGGGTAAGCAATTGGAGTGTCTAGAGCACAAGGGACACATTATGGAGGAGTTTAGATTTCATTCTGCAGACAGTGGTGAACATTAACGGGAGGGTTGGTAGATGCTCAGCTATCACATATGCCTGAGTATGAGGTGATTCCTGATTTCCTGTGAAGCTCTGGGTCCCTGGTTCCTCTTTGACCCCCATCTTCCTTTATGCTCTTCCTCGTGCTCCCCTTGTCTGTGCCACACTGGCCTCTAGTTCCTTGGCTGTGCCTGTTGGGTGTCTGCCTCAGAACATTTGCACATGGTGTTCCCATTCTCTGGACCATTCTTCCCCTCATATGGCTTGCTTCCTCTCTTTCACGTCTTTGCTGAAATGCCACCTGCCTACGAGTCATAATGAACTACTGTATTATAGATCTGAAGTAGACCTGAAAGATGGGGATGATTTGGTTAAGTTGGTAAAAGAAAGGGGAAGAGAGCTTTCAGCAGGGTTAAAACCTGAACAGAACACAAACATGAGGCTTAGGTGGGATACTCAAGAATTAGATGCCTGCCTCACTCCTTATTTTGAGGAAAAGATAATAAGGAAAAACGTTAGCAGTATCAGGAAGGTCTGTGCTAGTGTCTCACATATATCATAGACTCATTGAACAAATACTGAGTGCGTGTATGCTGGGCACTTTTCTAATTGATTGGGTACTTTAGGGAACAAAACAAGAAAGTTTCCTGCCCTCTTGGAGCTTACATTCTGGGGGAGGGACACATACAATTACCAGTGTAGGTAACAAGTTAATTATTTAATATGTTAGAAAGGTGGTCAGTGCTATGAAGACAAGAAAATGCAGGGCAGGGTGAGGAGGGTTGGGAGGGGCTGGGCTTGGGGCAGCAGGGAATAGGAGGACTGCAGCATTAAATAGGGCTAGGTTTTCATTATGGGCTGTTGGATAACTCCTTTTTGGTAATTTTGTTTTGCTTTTAATTTCTTTTCTCTGTTTGGGGGCATTTGCATTGCAACACCCTTGTTTGTCAAACTGAGCATGTAGCAGTGTAAACTGAGCTTCTGGGACCTCCTGACGGTCTTAGAAGTGGAGTAATGGCAGCTTCTTTACAGGGTGGTTGTGAGGATTAAATGATGCAGAACTGCAGAAATTATCTGCGTGTATCTTGCAGAGAAAGTTTTCAACAAGTCGTCTCCCAGCTCCAGCTTGAAGTCATGCAAGTCTGTGATACAGTTGGCTAGATTACCTTTTCATTGATTTTTTTTCATAATCTTTGAGTTTAAGTCCTGTTATATACTCTTATTCCTAAATGTATTGGAAAAATGCATGTAAGCTGAAGGACCTGTGGCTTTGCCCTAGGCTCTGTCTGCCCATGCCAATCGACGTGGTTTATACCTGGGTGAATGGCACAGATCTTGAACTACTGAAGGAGCTACAGCAAGTCCGAGAACAGATGGAGGAGGAGCAGAAAGCAATGAGGTAAAATGGATTTTTAAAAAACAAAACACACTCTGGGGTGCTTGGGTGGCTCAATCATTTAAGCATCTGACTCTTGATTTCTGCTCAGATCATTATCTCATGGTTCATGAGATCAAGCCCCACATCAGGTTCTGCACTGACAGTGCAGAGCCTGCTTGGGATTCTCTCTCTTCAGCCCTCGCCTCTCCACCGGCTGCCGTACACATACCCTCCCCCCCCCACCAAACCGCCTTCCCCAAAAAATAATAAATAGAACTTTAAAAAAAAAAAAACTAACAATAATTGGAATTAAAAAGAAACAACAACACACAAAGTTCTATGAATACAAGTAACAGTGCATTTCAGAAGGGTAGGGTGATGTTCACAGTGCTAATCCAAACAAAAACCTGCATCTCAAATTCATGCCATTACAAGATTTTGTCACCCATGTGTCTGACCCTTGTTTCTTGGTACCCAGTGAGGACTCAGCCACTTCGTTAGATGGCCATTTTATGACTGTGCTATTCTAGTGATGCGTTGCTCTCTGAGGGCCTGAAAGGAAAGGAGTCTCCCACGGGTTCTTGCTTACTCAGTCTGAGTCCCATGTGTGATACCTTCATGAAATAAGGTGTTATTATGGAAAAAAGTTTCATGGTAAGACCCATTATTCCCTTGAAAATAAAACAGGCCTACAGACTTAACTTTTTTCCGTTTGATAAATACAGTACAAAGTATGTTCCCTTTACCCCTTTTAATGTTAAATCATACAATATGGAATTAGAAACTGCTAATTTTTTTATATGTGGAATTTTGATCATTTTAGTTCTTTTATCTGAGAAAGGTACAATGTACTTGAATGGAGAGCCTTAAGAGCTAAAAATCTGGCTGATATAACTTCCCCTCTGATTCCTTAGCATTTTCTGAGAATTTCTCCATTTCTCCATTCATTTCTTCATAAATATGATGGGTGCTCCCCAGTTGCAGGTCATTGGCCATGTTACACTGCAACAAATTTTCTCTTTCTCTTTGTGTCAGAGAATAGGATACCTTCCCAGTGCATGAAAATAACTTTGGCAGCCTGGTACCATGTTTTAGTAGTAAAATGTAAAAGCTTGAGTCAACTTTCATGGTTACTGTGGGAGGTATGTGATAATAATTGTTGAGCATATTTCATTGAAACTTAAAATTTATTATGCATATTAAATGTTGTAAGCATTGTATTTCCTAACCTACTAGTTAGTCCAGTGGAGTAACTAAGAAAATCATTGTTGTTAGTTACCTTTTGTTCACATTTAGGACTAGTACTAGCTCATGAATATGTAATGAAATATATTTGCTTTCATTAGAGAAATCCTTGGGAAGAACGCAACAGAACCAACCAAGAAGAGGTAAGTGTTTTGATTTTCCTCTTAGGAATAGAAGTTGAAGTGAAACTTCCAGGTTCTTATTGTTTTTTGTTGGATATACAGTATTTTGTGTTTATTGTTCCTGTTTAATCCCTCATCTGCTAGCTTTTGACCCCCAAATTAATTGCCTCTTTTAGATGGGAAATCTTGCAATGCCAGAGGCATAGTTGATTGAGAACTCTTGTTTGGGTTGTAGCTAACAAAAGCTTTATTGTTTCTGGATGGGTTAGGTTTTTGGATGTAAGGTTTTTCTGCTCTGCTGTTTCCATCAATCTGTCTTGGTGCGCTGTTCTCTTGGTCCACTTAATGTGTAACTTATACCCAGTGTTTTCATTTATAGGATTTATATCCATCATTCAATTGTGTGTTCATTATATATTTCCTTATTTTTAAAAGCTGTCATAGTTGTATGTCTTATATTTAAGGACTTGGGAAGGGGATTTAGCCCAATGCCAAGAATCAGATGTGTCTACTGTGATTTGAATCCTACCAGACTCTGGTAGGTCCTTAAAACAAAACTGCCTCACTGACAAGCAGAAATCTCTGTTAATGGCACTTTCTCACTTAACCATTAGTTTTAAAATAAAAGAGTTATTTTATAGAAATGATCCTGAGGAATTTTGAGATTTAGAAGTACCTTCTGAATCATTTCTTTATGTTCTATATATTTATTTATAAATATACCACTGTTAAAACTGTTATTTTTAAATGACATAAATAAAATTTTTAATTATTTAAAGTAATGATGCCATGTTACAAAGGATTGAGAGGAGTGAAAAGAAGATACTTCTACGGCCCCCATTCAACAAACTGTGATCATTTTTTTATTCCCTTTTTGTGCATATATTTATAGTTGTAATTTGTAATCTCTGTGCAATTTTGTATCCTGCTTTAAAAATTGTATATAATCTACACAGCTATGTTCATAAATTATCTTCATGCTTCTTACTTATCAATTTTTTTTTTAAATTTTTTTTTTTTTCAACATTTATTTATTTTTGGGACAGAGAGAGACAGAGCATGAACAGGGGAGGGGCAGAGAGAGAGGGAGACACAGAATCGGAAACAGGCTCCAGGCTCTGAGCCATCAGCCCAGAGCCTGACGCGGGGCTCGAACTCCCGGACCGCGAGATCGTGACCTGGCTGAAGTCGGACGCTTAACCGACTGCGCCACCCAGGCGCCCCTCAATTTTAATTGTTGTATCATATCCCGTAAAGTAACTGTACTATAATTTACTAAATATTAGGCACTTCTGTATTTTCACTATTGTAAATAGTTTGCAATCTTATATTTGGGTCTGTGGCATTTTCTGTATGTGGGTTTGTTTTTCCTGTTTTGTTTCTCTTCTCCTACTTGGACTAGATTCCTGGAAGTGAACTACTGAGGTAGAAGCATATGTGTAAGTTTTTATGGCTCTGAGTATACACACATATACTATGAATATACACACATATACTATGAATATACACACATATACTATGAAATTGCTTCTCCAGAGAGAAAATGGGAACACCCATCTGCAGTGACACCAGCAGTGTTTGAAAGGGATAGGTTTACTGGGCTTGCAGTAACATTGAGTCCATTTTTTGAGCGATGCTAATTTAGTAAACAAAATGTGATAACTCTTTTTTTTTTTTTTTTTTTTTTTTTTTTTTTTTTTTTTTTTTTTTTTTTTTTTTTTTTTTTTGCATTTCTTTAAATATTAGTGCAGTTGGACAATTTTATATATTGCTTAACTAGTCATAGCTCTCTCTCTCTGTGAATTCTCTAGCTGTGTTTTGTCCATTGTTTATTTAGGTAATATGTTTATTCTAGGCATTCCTTACATTTAGATAGAAATACCTTATACATTCATATTAGAACCTTGTCACATTTGCTGTTGTTTCCGTTGGTGTCGTCTTTCGAATGTACTTTATTGTATTCTGATCAGAATTGATAAATTGTATCTGGTAGGATGATACTCTGTTAAACAGAATTTATCTATTCCTGCTCTGCCAAATGATAGGCTTCACTGGAATTATGAATAATCTTTAAGATGGTAGTAATGAAATGCTTAAATGAAATGCTTAGTTTCTTGTGCACCTTTGAGTTAGTAAATTTTGGTGACAATCATATTAATAGGAGTTTGAAAGCTTGAGAGCTGTACTTGTTTAATAATTTTATGTCCTACTTGCTCTCTTTTTCTATTCTTGAGATAAAAATTCTTTGTTTAGTAAAAAATTATGATTTTTTTATGGATCTAGAAAAACATCTGCAAAATTTAGTAGTACCAACAAGCTTTGTAGTGTTGATCACATTTTCACGAACGTTTGTGAGCATGTTGGTGTTTGTTTCCAGCGAGAAGCAGTTGGAATGTTTGTTGACATACTGCATTAAGGTGCCAATGCTCGTCCTGGACCCAGCCCTGCCAGCCAGCGTCACACTGAAGGACCTGCCATCTCTTTATCCTTCTTTTCATTCTGCCAGTGACGTATTCAACGTTGCAAAACCAAAAAACCCTTCCACTAATGTCTCAGTTGTTGTTTTCGACAGTACTAAGAATGGTAAGATCACCTTACAGGTATTTGAAAATCATGTTCTCATTGGCAGTTTGAATAACAAAATTCTGAATGGAACAGACATGATTCAATTTTAAAAAAGTGTCCGATAAACTAAAAACATAACAAGAGAGGCAGAAGAGCTGCCGCTGTATTTCAGCCCTAACTTCAGAAAGGGATTGCATACATTTTACTCTGTGTAATACACTTGTCTTTCTGTGCTGTGGACCTTAACTTTGATACGTAGATTAACCTTATTCTCTAGCCTCTGAGTCATTGTGGAGGCTTATTATTATTATTATTATTATTATTACCACCATATAACTCTTCAGCAAGGTTGTTTTCTACAGTATGGACAGAACATACCTGGAACATTCTTACTTTACATCCTGAAATAACTGGTTATACAGTTGATTTGGCTAGATAATAGAATTGAAATTGTAATTTCCGGCCTAGAACAATACCTGCATCTAGAGATCCTATCCTCCTACTTGGCCACTGAGTTGCTGAGCCCCATGCCCGTGTCTCCTCTGGTGTGCTGTCTCTCCTGCTTCCTCTGCACTGAGACCCTCTCCTTAGAGGCTCTATGTTTTTCACTTGTGTAAAATGAAAGCTGTCACGTTCCCTTTATAGCATTGAGGCCTAGTCTCAAGTTCCCATTCTTTCAGTGTCATACCTCCCAGCTTAAATCTTTGGAAGTATCTTCGATGTGTTCTTGCTTTTTATCCTCCATCACCAGTATATTGACCTCACCCTATTACTTTTGCTTTCTGCAAATGATTCTCCCCTTTCTTACTCATCTCACCTCCCCCACACCAGACCCAATTTCTTCACACAGGCTCCAGTGATAGCCGCCTAGCTGCTCTGCCTACCTACCTATAAAGTTCTTCTCTAGTCTGTCCTGCATATAACTGTAAATGAACCAGAAAGCTCTGATTTTATTGGTTCGCTCCTTTTTTGAAGACACTACAGTAGTATTTGTTTTTCACATGGTAGAGAATCCTTTTCCCTGGTGTTCAGGACTCAGCTTTGATTGCCTTGACTCTGCCCATTGTTCCTCACATTCCAGCTCTCCAGCATCTCCTCGAGGCTGCCCTTGTCATCACACGTGGTGCTGCTCTCCTGGTCCCCTTTCCCTCCTAGCCCATCTCCTGTTCTTTCCCACCCCATCTCCAGTTCTGTCTCCATGAAGATCCCGAGCAGTGCATTCACAGTGATTCTATTTATTTTGACTTTTCTGTATCCCTGTACTTGTCACCCGACTCACAACTTAGTTGTTGGTTGTGCAGGAGTTTATGGTATTTTCATCTAATTTTTTAATCAAGCAGAAACCTTATCACTTACCAATTTGTGTCCTGAACATTATCTAACATCACACTATCTTCCTGGTACTTAATGAGGTATTTGTAACTTGAAAGGAAATTCAAGTTTCCAAGTTAACCTTTCTAAGTATAGATATCGTCCCCTTTATGCTATAGATTTGTTTCTGAACTGTTTTGTATAAAATATTTTTGTTTTTAAGTTACAGTTTAAATATATAGGGAAAGTAAAGGGATAATCTTGGACAAATTATAGCAAATTAATCTGTTTCCTTGTTTGGCTAAATTCAGCTTTGTTATGTATGTATGTATATATGTATGTATGTATTTCATTTTGAGAGAGAGAGAGAGTGTGGGAGGGACAGCGAGGGAGGGAGATGGAGAGAGAATCCCAAGCAGGCTCCACACTGTCAGCACGGAGCCTGATGCGGGGCTGAACTCATGAACTGTGAGATCATGACCTGAGCCGAAATCAGATTCTCAACCAACCGACTAAGCTACCCAGTCACCCCTAGCTTTGTTCTTTAAGTAACTATAGTTAAGGCGCTCTGATAACATTCCATCTGAAGAGAAAAAGGAATGATATTATGTTAAGAATTATAATAATTCAGTTATAATATCTATGGAGAGAGTCTTGGGTTTTTCCTCTGCTAATTTTATAACATAGTAAAGACTTAAGAGGTTGTAAATTTTGATATAAATAAAATCTGTATTAAACTATAGTCTTCTAAACATTGTTTTTGAATTCCCACCTGGGTTTCTGTTTGCCTGCCCTACTTACTCATTTGTTGAGTAAAGATTTGTTGGGCCATTGCGGTTGTTCCAGGAAAAAGGGAAATGGCAGAGAACAAAAAAGACACATCCCTACCTTCACGGAGCTCATATTTCTAGTGCGCCATAGACACATTCTTTATCCTCAATTATCTAGATGAAGGATTGCCAAATTCTTTCTTAAAGGATCAGATAATAAACATTTTGGGCTTTATGGGCCAAGAGGCAAAATGGAGGATATTATGTAGGCATTTATATAAGTATTTAACATTTAGCCTTGTTAAGATGTCAAAACTGTCCTTCACTTGGGGCTGTACTAAAACAGGCAGTGGTTAAGTTTTGGCCATGGAATGCCGACCCTGATCTCGATAAAACATTTGTTCCACATTTGATGTTCCATTTATCTCATTTAACCTCTTTTCAGTTAATTATCAAAAACTGTTGACTTTTTTTCTCTTTATGAAATACGTCATTTCCGCCCCTCCAATGACTTTGCTACCCTATCGAGTGGACAGTACTTCAACAGCCACACAGTGTAGCCCTGTAGCCTGGGCCTGGGTTTCCTCAGCAAAGTGGTTTTTCCAGTTAAGCTTATTCCCTTTGATCTATAGGAATTGAATTTTCTCCTGTGATAGATCACTTTACCTCTTGACTACACTGACCTTTACAAGGAATTATAAAGTGTTTCCTTGTAGCTTTCTCATGCTGGTTAAATTTGTACCCTTTGGGATCTTACAGAACTAATGTAATATACTCCCTTTCCCATGTGACATTTCTTTTCATTATTACTCCTTTAGCTGTCTCTTAGGGGCTTGTGTTCTAGTTTGTTCTTCTCAGAATGAGCTTTAGTTTCTGTTACTTTTATAGTGTATCAAGTAGAATAGAACCTTTTTTTTCCCACTGTGGTTCAGTCTGCAAAGAGAGTGGGTCTGTTCATTCAGTAAGTATTTATTATTGAGTGCATACTCTGTGCCAGGTACTTTTCTCAGTGCTGAAAATGCAGCAGTGAAGAGAGAGACAAAAATCTTTGCCCTCATTGAGTTTACCTCTTGGCAGAAGGAGACAGACAAATACAGCATACAAATAAATTATATAGTTTGTAGGAGACAACTGGTGTACAGAAAAATTGAGCAGGGGAAATCGAGTGATAGGGGCAGACTCACTGAGAAGGTGATTTTTGAGTGAAAATTTAAAGTAGGTGGGAGGACCAGCAACATGAATATATGGGGAAGGAGTGATTCACTTAAGTGGAATAGCCACTGCAAAGTCCCTGAGGCAGGAGTGTGTCTGGCAGGGAGGCTGGTGTGGCTGGAATAGGGTGAACAAGGGAGAGGGGCAAGAGATAAGTCTAGAGAAGTAATGGGGAACATAGGGGGTCTGCCCTGGCAGCCATGGTGAGGACTTTGGCTTTAACTCAGAGTGCAGTGAGCAGTCATTAGAGGGTTTGAGTACAGGAGTGATATGATCTGACTGATGTTCCAAAAGGAGCAGTCTGGCTGCTGTGGTGGGAATAAACTGAGGAGAGGCAAAGATAGAATCATTCAGGCAAGATTCAGGCAAGAGGGAAGGTGACTTGGATCAGAGTAGTGGAGAGAACAGGTTGGATTGAAGGTCAACCTAACAGGATTTCCTGATGGGTTGATGGTGAGGAATAGAGCCCCGCTTTCGGTGAGCCCCAGTTCCTTCTCTCTCTCTCTCTCTCTCTCTCTCTCTCT